TATAAATATTAGAACCCCAACGAAATAACTACAATGAAGTATAATGTGAGAAAATCGTCAAAATTCAGAGAGTATTTTAGCACATAAGACCAAATACGATCAGAGGAAAGATATTTTTGAGAAAAAGCTAGAAGGATTCAAGAGATAAACATCTATACAATGTCCAACATATATGTAGGATTTCTCGTCAACCAGTAACCGCTTTCTTGAATAATTCAAGAACTATTACATATCAGAATCTTATTTTTAAAAAAATAAGCAGCAGATGAAAATTTCCTTGGTACTTTTCCGTTAGACAGCACGGGATAAAAGATCCCTTTCGTTGGACAGGAATTTTTCATAAGAGTGTTGGTAATCATTGGAAACCACAGATTCCCGGCTACTACATTACGTGGCTCTTTTTGAAAAAGTCTTTTTTACAACGCTTTTAGCGAAAGAAAGACATCTGTGTTTAAGACGCGCGTATTTCTCGCACGACAGAGCTCTTCCTTTAGCCTATTAGTAATCATTCGACAATATAATATTCACAGATTACAACGCTGTGCTTACTTTCCCAAGTGACCGCTTCCTACAGTGTAACAGGGAACATATGATTGAATCACATAAGGGGCATGTGTGTTTAGGCTATTCTACGGGCGGAGTGTAGGGACGTGGGGCGCTACGCGCGATTTGGATACGGTGATCTATCGATGGCACTGACGTGTTTACACATGTGAAGTGCGATTTTTGTTACCCAATTAGGAATTTTTTCTCTGTTTTGAAAGAAAACCCCGATAAAACGTCTGACTCTATACTCAAAGATTTCCTTTACACACGATGATGACTTTTCGTGCTTCCAGCGAGGTAATAGTAAATCGCGCGACCGATGTAAAACACTACTTTATTTTGCATTTTACAGCATTATCAAAGGATGCTTTTGAAAACCGCCATATAGCGCAGTAGTCAGTAATTTAAGCTTTCGAATAATTACTAACACTCTTATGAAAAGTTCTTGTCCAGCGAAATGGATAGTTTCTTCATTCCGTTCTGTCTAACGAAAAAAAAACCATTTTTTGGAAGAACACTTCTGTCTCAATATTAGAATTTACCAGGAAAACTAGATCACTCCATTTCGATAAAACTAAATGAATTTTGAGCCATTTAGCTTCACAAGATCAATATATATGACACGCACACGGCGATAACGTTCCCTTAATATCATTTTTTCAGACTTCATTGAGCTCTTTAGAGCAACGCTAGTTACTCAAAAAATGAAACCATGACAGTTTGTTATATTTGTACCAATTTTTTGGTAGTTACTGCGAAACATTTATGGTCACTCGAGAACAAATTAGTATTCGGTTTGGAAAATTCTTCAACGGTGTATAACCACAATCTTTTCAGAAACTTACGTTCAATTGCCAACAGTTCATCATAGAGGGTCGACTTTTGTTTCTGGCGGTCATCAGCTTTCGTGACTTCATCGTCTGCCGCTTCCAATCCACGTACCCATTCGGGAACTTCGGTTTGGTGATAATTAATATCCAAATCAGAAGAGTCCCTGTGGCCCATAATCATCTTCAAGTATTCCATGTATGATTCGCGAGCGACCTGCACTATATTTCAAGATCACTTGACTGAAAAAACACTATACGGAATAACTCACCTGCTCGTTGATTTCCTTTTCAGTTCTCTCAACATCCGTCAAGGCTAGTTGACTTTGGAGTATAGCCTGTTCCACACTTATTTTCTCGCTTTCTCTTATTGCATGGTGAAGATTATCCATTCTATTCGAGATATAGTTAGAGTTGGGTATTCCCAAACCAATTCCAGACATAGGCGTGAAAGGATCAGTTACTAAAAAACCAACTCCACGAATCAGTAGACTAGTAAAACTAAGAAAAAAGTAAAACTACTCAAACACCTAATGAAGACTCAAGTACCAGAGGTAAGGAAACAAACGTTAATAAGACATAGCTACTCTACAGAACTCAAACAGAACTTCAAAGGCGTTTCTTGAGAAATAAAAATGTAAAAAACAGGGGAAACACAAAGGCACTAACAGATCAATATATAAATATTATGTTTCCGGCGTTGATCAATGCCTGAGAGATGTGGCCATGCATTCGACTTCATCAAGCGTTGATTGAGGTGGGTGAATGCAAGTCTCGCCTTTACAATGACACGCGGTGGCCTGTCGACATGTGAAGTCAATGGTGTTATCCTTTTGGATAAATCCGCTACCAATTCACCGACTACGGAGGGATAGAAAACTTGGCGAGCCTTGGGCAGTGACCATACTATTGGCTACATGTGCGTCGCAAAACACCTTTAATCACTGCACCACACGCGCTCGACACAACATCAATAAGCGACATAATCCATGACATTAGACACGATAAACCAAGATAAAAGCTAAATCATTGAGAATCATACCAATTTCTTACCAGAATTATAATGCGATGAACCGTGGTAGCTAAGCCGAATTGGCGCACTGATCTCAAGGGAACTGATGGTGGGATAGAAGATATTCCTTGGATCTGAAGAAACCCCAGTATGAAGCAAGACTCAGTGAGAATCTCAAATGGGCAATGATCGAACGTACTTTCGCTATATTCGTATATCTCAATAGGACGTCCCAACATCTCAGAAATAGCTTGAAGTTCAACATGATTGCCGTATTGTCCAGGTTGCCGTTTACGAGCAATATACGACGAAAAATTCTCAGTAACAAACGGGGCAAAGTGATCTCGATTCCTCTCCTTAGAAATTTGAAATCTTCTATGTTCGAACGGTACTGAAATACGAGGAAAAGATGGCACAAAACAAACCATGTAATCCATGCATAATCGTCGTACTTCATTGTGCATACCTTCATCAGCATAAATTTGATCGGCTAAATCAAAAAATAAAATTAAACCTAAGTAAGAGCCTAGAGGATGGAAAACGCCTACTAACCTACTGCTCGAAACATACATGACCCATCTCCTCGAACCACTTTTATGTCGAAACCTCGAGTTCTCTTTAGAAGAATAGCAAAATCGGCTTCCAGCTAAAAGAAGCACTTCAATACCGAAACTACCAAAATGCTCTGGAGATTTTTAAAGATATTCATAAATCCACATACCGATTCATCTTTGAATCCGACGTCATATTCATCGTCAGAATTCGCTCCAGGAGAAATAAATCCGTTACGAGTGTAACCTAAGAAAACGAGGGAGTAATCTTTACAGTTTTCTTTTATCTTAACGGCTTTCCATTTGAGTGTCATAAATTTCGTGATATCCCATGAGTTGAACCCGCGTCTCACCCTTTGCGGGGATACGTGCTACCACTGGTCTACCAGGCTCGTAGTGTTTTGCATACCACCTTATGTTGCCGGATTAAAGACAAAAAACAAAAAAAAAAGCTGGCTGTTGAAAAATGAAATTGAGGAAAGAATACCTCGCCTTCTATTGTACCCTGAAACAAAAGAAAAAATAATAATCTATAGAATTCTTTCCAGTTCTCTGACTTTTCAAAGCAATAGTATGGTGTCATAGTTACATCCAAAAATATCCATTAACGTTGAGTAATGTGCAAAACCTTGACCACAGGTGAGACTCGAACGCGCATTTCGCCTTTTCTGGAAACGTGTGCTTTATCCAGCTGCACTACCGAAGCCTGTTTTGCCACCATTCTACGCTACAACGCATTACTCTGACAGCAATCAACCGCCAACGGTTTGACCTTGTAGTCGATATCGACACTGAACTCAGTCACACTGACAGAAATTGGATACATGTGCAAGCGGTGCCCCTGGAAAGAGCGAAAAGTGGGTTCGAGTCCCGTCTGATGTCAAAGTTTTGCATCACACAACATCATTGGATATATTTGTAACACCATAACACCGCTAAAAGCAATTAAATGAAAAGAGTTCTGCTTCAGCACATATATCGAAAAATGTTGAACGACGCGCAAAGCTCTGAGTCTCCAGTAGAAGTTGAACCCGCGTTTCACACTTTCTAAGGAAAAGTGCTAACTACTAAAATACTGCGGCTCGTGTTTTGTTCTGCATACCACTCAGCACTACTGTATATAAAAAGGAGTTAATGAAAAAGCATATAAATGCACTTATAAATGTAACTGGCTTTCAAGACGATGAGTTGACTGTTAGATTTCCAAGTATAACTGTCAAAGAAATAAAAATAGGTAAGACATACCTTTCCTACGATTGTAACCTGAAACAAAGAAGGGTCTAATCTAGACAAATTACTCTTATATGAACGCTTTTGATGGCAATGTCGCGAAATTACAACTGTGTATCCAAGAATGCTGTGTTAAAGCTTTGATCTCGGGTAGGACTTGATCCCGCGTACTCTCTTCCCATGAGCATATTAGACGCGGGTTCGACTCTCTCTCGAGATTCAAAACTTCGCATTAACTAGACTCTTACATCTCCAAGTATAAGTGTCAGAAAAAAGAAAGAAGTGCTATAAGAAAGACATACCCTGCCTCCCATTACTCATGTCGATATTTCCTTGTTCTCGCCCGAAATTCCAGAGACTCACCAGTGAATATGTACAAAAAACTATAAATAGATCAGGTAAAAGGAAAGAAAGAGTATGAAAAAGAAAAAAAAAACAAGGCATCATCAGTTTTTGAAATATTCAGCGATCGCTACCACTTCCATCGAAATGACTACAACTGTGAGAAAGCCATTTATCAGGAAGATAAATACAATGATCCAGAAAATATATGGAGGAACAACAACATACAACAAGTTGATATAAAAACTTCAGCTGAAAAAAACTCATTAACTTTTGTAAAATCGTTGATATATGCACAGACAGATTCTCTTAGGCCTGAAAATAGTAAAATATTACCAAACCTACCGAAATAAGGGGACGGTCTAAGGTCAGTACTGAGTCAAGTCTCAAAGATATTGTACATCAAGAATCCATTCAAATGGGAATGTTCGGAAATAATAACCAAGCAATTATGAAATTTCCAAGAATTCCGAAAGTTATGCAAGAACATGGAACCTCAGGCGGGACTGAACCCACGCTTCATCTTTCTCGAGAGGCGCGTGCTACCACTACACCGCCAAGGCCACCACCGCTCTTCACCACTCCCATCCTTGGATTTACAATTATAACACTATCGCACTGTTACGAGAGCACTAAAATGGAAAATTCCAGCAAACTATGAAATACTTAATTACCGGCAAAATATACAAACTATTAAATTTCGAGTCAAAGGTAAGAGTTCAAGCAATGATTGGGTACCACTTAAACACGTCAAGTAGCTGGTTGTAATCGAAAGTAGACAAACTAACAGAGATTTCTATTCATAGGTTGATCTATATAAGGTAACAGGAGAAAAACGGCTACTAGGCTGAGGTTCTAGAGCAATCATTGAGGAAAACTCCTGGACATAAGAGTTACAATCTTACTCTTTCCGCTTCAAAACTCTGTATAGAATGATTCTTACAGCTTCAAATAGTATTTCCCATGAAAAAGTCTATTAAGCTAATGCCAATAATCAAAAACTTGGGATATGAAACCTAGAAACATGACGAAAATGCTTCAAAATGGAACCAGCTGCAAATTGTAAGAAAAAGTACACACACGGAGTACATCAAGAAAGAGATAGTTATCCTTTCAGATGGTGAAAAATAAATCTATCGCGTTACGTCGGCACTAACATGACTTCAACTATTGTTAAGCTCTCAGACTAAAACTGAAACATAGAAACTACACGGACTACACCACAGAATTTCTCACAAAATCAAGCTGACACAAGAGTGATATTAAAGTCCTCGATACGACTAACGCTGACGTCTTCGCCTTCCTTAGAGCCGAGAATTCGAGCCGATTATTCTCAATAGTTCGCCCCAAATCGTGGCCCTTCGTTGTCGTTCAAGTCGAATCTTCTTCGGTGTCGCCTTTTATTTAGAGCGCTGATCGTTTGGTAGTGATTGTCAAGTGATGAAAGCTTTCTCATTTCACGAACATTAACAAACAACAAGCTCCGGCGCACAAGGAGATAGCGCAGATTGAAGTTACTTCCTTTGAGTGGTGCTTCAGTCTAGAGATCTGACTCAAACGAAGACGGCCCAAAATGCGAAGGCAAACGACTAGGACAATCAATTGGAATCATCGGCTCAAAGAAGAAAAAGACGTCGAAATGTTAGCTGAATTAAGGTTTCAATCTCAACGCTGTGTGAACTCAACTATGTGACAAATTATTGACAACAAGGTTGATTTCTGAAACACTAAATCACGTATATTCTAGTACAAATATTGATACTTTTTTCACAGAATATCCCAATGTATATGAGAGAGCCAGTTAAAAGTCAACGAAGAGTGGAGTTAAGGGTGGTTTGCGCTTGCGCTTTTTGCATACCTAGGAGATTTACCATATTCAGAGATCAGAATGTTGCTATCTCACTAATGAGTATTATATATCCTTAGTGCCGTAGACTATAAACAGCTACAACTGATGAGACGCGACGGACAGATTACGACAACTCTTTAGTAGGCGATGACGGTTGGGTAGCCTGATGACTATTGGGGATCCTCGAGCTGGTCTTTGATAGAACTCGTGGACGAATGCCACGTCGACCACCAAATGTCTCATATATTGGAGGTCTAAAGAGATAAGATGAATGCTACATGAAATTCACACATGAAATATTATCGAGATGTGAGGACCCTCGGTAATCCGTGAACCTTAATGAAATGCCAAAGTATTTAGTGTCCACATAAGTTTGGCACTAGACCAATAAACATCAAACTTGTTTACCAAAAGAAATTGAAACTTTCTCACTATTTTGGTTAGTTAGCACAAAACTCCAAGCCTATCCCTTACGCTGGACAAAAACTTTTCTCGAAAAGTGTTATTAATCATCCGAAAGTTTGAATCTATTGCTAGCGCCGTACGTGGCTGGTTTTTGAACTCCTTAATATAACGCTTCAGTGGAAGAAAAACATTTGTAGTTCACTGACACGTTTTTCTCGCAAGACAGAGCTCTTTCTTTAAACAGTTATTAATCACTCTCGAGCGTAAAACTTGATGATTTCAACGCTGTGCTTATTGCCTGGAGAGACCGTTTCGGTCTCGTGCAGCACGGAAAATAAATTGATTCGCATACTCGAGCAAGTGCTCTTTGGCTAATTCACGGGCTGCGGAGTAGTGGGGGAGGGAAAGGGGCGGGGGTGAGAATTGGCGAGATCATCAATCGATGGCGCCTATGTGAATTGTTTCTCCACTTCAGGAGAACTTAGATCAAACGTCTAAGTCTGATACTAAAAGATTTTCTCTAGACGTTCATGTACATTTTGTGCTTCCAGCGAAGCAATAGGTGATTTGTGCGGCCGATGTGATACATAATTTTATTTCGAATTTCATAGCGTTACAAAAGGGTTCTTTCAAAAAACCGGCTACGTACAGCGCTCTCCAAAATTTTGAGCTATCGAGCGATAATTAACACTTTAAGTTGAAATTTCTTGTCCAGCATAAGGAATAGGCTTGGAAATCTATGCTACCAAATGGAAAACAACCAAATTTGTTCAAAGAAGCTATTCAACTGCGCAATTTCTCGCAAACATTTTGATATACATCTTGCTTACACTTGCTTTGAAATAGATGGAGTTGCCGTTAGAACAAGTTCGTCTGCTAATCATGCACAGATGGCACTTAGGGGAAAATGGTAGTGAAGCGCTGCGCAAATAGAGTTTTTCGTGGACGGCTTGAGCACAGCTGATCCTGCGGACTGTTCCCTCGAGTTTTGAACTTCGTAAACCACTTTCATAGCCGTCCTTTCTGCAACCATATCACCACCTCAAGCTCCATAAATCTTGTGCGCCGCTTTTCCCCTACGCGCCCTTCGTGCATGAGTAGCAAGTTAATTTGTTCTCAAAACTACTCCATCTTAGAGCAAATATAGGCAACTTGCATACCAAAATCTCCGCGAGATAATGCGCAATTGAATAACGCTGCTAAATAGTTTTGATCACTTCTGGTTAATAAATTTGGCCTGTTGTTATATGGCTACAACTTATTAAAATAGCTGAAATTAATTTATATAATCCAAAAATTAATCCCTACGGTGGAGGCTGTTCGTGGGTTTCCTTGGCTCCTCCTGGATCTGGAAAACCATCCTCTTCATCGATAAGTGCTTTCTCCAGAATTACACGAGCCTCTTTGTAACGCTGAGACTCTTCCATGGCAAACTCATACATCCAACCAACTCTCTCCTAGATAGTGAAAAAGTGAAAAACTGTAGTAAAGTCAGAGATCATCAATAAGCTGATAAAAGATAGGTGAACTTTCAACGTACATGACAGACTCTGCATTTCACATCACGAACTATGTGCTTTCCGGTCATCATATCGCGATGCTGTGCCTCCGAATAGTCCAAATTCCAAGCTCGATGAAATAACATGGCACTGCCAGACGAACCTGCTATGAATTCCTCTCGAATATGGTTAAAATAACAAAAAAAATTTCTCAGTTGCTCTAAAATTTTAATTCTACTTCTACAAACAACAGCTTTTGCGAATAATATTTGCGCAGATTAATTTCAGTGAAATAAGTGAAAACTACAACTTTTTTGGAAGAAAATGTCAGGTCTTCGGAAAAGAAAGGAGAAAAGGAGAGAAAGGGAGAGAAAAAGAGATAGAAAGAGAGAGAAAGAGAGAAAGAGAGGGAAAGAGAGAGGAATCGATCCAGATTACAGATGGAAAAGATCAGAAGATATGGAAGTTCTAGAGATCTACACGTAAACAAGGATGGCATCCCAGGACGCTGCATGATACGCAAAAGTTTGCCTCAGGCGGGAGTTCAACCTGCGTTCCACTCATATCGGGGAAGTGTATTACCGCTACACCCCAAGCCCACCGTTTTTTTCGATATAAAAGATCGATAGCTTTGCATACCACTCAGTATCCTTGGATATATAAATATATTAGTTGTACAGATATGACTCCGCCGTTGTTCGCTGTTCAAATATTCAATCAATACAAGAAGCTTTTGGAATGAAGTTTATTCAATCCTTTAACTTCCGAGGAACCAAACTCACTACGACACGCAACACTGCATCTAGAATGTAAGCTTTCACATAGTTCCTAGCAGCGTCGCCGGGTTCGCTTATCTTTAGCGCGAATTCACGCTATTTGTTTGTGGTGTTGTTCCTACCAATTCTGAAGGCATTTAGGCCCAACTTTTCAACACCACAAACAAACAGCGTGAAGTCGCGCGAGATAAATGAACCCGACGACAAACTGAGAACTATGTGGAAGCTAACCTCATAGATATAATGTTGAGATTCGTCGCACTAAAATAATCAGATAAACCCGACAATATTACTAGAAACTGTGTGGAAGTTTACATTTTAGATGTAATGTTGTGTGTCGTAGGAGGTTTGGGTCCTCGGAGGTTAAAGGGCTATATATAATTTCCACCACTAACAATAACATTTTGTCGAATTCTGCCGGATCTGTCAAAGCCATCAAAGAAAAATGTGGTAAGCGAAATTGGTAAGATTTGATGAAATATTTTTTTGAATTTGATAATATGTAATTTGAATATGGTAATTTCAAGTGGCAATCTGATGGCAAAGTGTCCGGAGAGTAAGACGGGTTAGGTAAGACCTCCTAAAACCTCCCACCTCAGCACTTTTATGAGGTTTTCGACCGATTTTGCGTGAGCTCGAGCGTTATCATGCAGCATGAATCACTTTGTCGTGTCTTACGGTCCATTCCAATCGTCGTGTTTGCAATTCATGGTTTGATTTGGTTAATTGTTGTCGATTGAGCGCTGCATTAACCGCCTGTCACCGGATTTCATCACCTCGTAGTAGGGGACGTCTTCCTCTTCCCACAAATGCACACCTAACGTTTGCATGAATCTTCGTCCGTTTCACAGTCGAATTTGCTGGTTGTCCGGGTGAGCTCCACGATCGTTTGCGCTTTGACTTGACAAAAACGAAACCTACTTTTCGTCTCCGATCACTATGCAATGCAAAAAATCTTCCTTTCCGTCGGCGGCGGTTTTCTTCAAACTCAATATGGAAAGTAAAGCTTCCTGCAGATGGCGTTTTCGCGTACA